ATTTTTGTTAACATTTCAAAATTGGTAAAAAATAATGACCATAAAAACAACAGAATATCACAACAGGGCCTCGACGTTGCAAATTCAAAAGAAATACGATTTTCATAATGCCAACATATCAGAACACGTCTGCAAACACACACACACACACACACACGCATCTTCTCAGTCATAAATCAAGTCTACCACAATGATTTAACCAAGATTGTTAACACGATAACATATTGTGAAAGAGCAAACCACAAAAAAATCCCCGCCAACTTCACTTCAAGAAGATAAAAGGATGACACTGAAGAAAAAGAAGAAGAAAAGCTCAAAAGAAGACAAGGAGGGGAATTTTAAAGAAAAGGGGTGCTTTCTGTGGATAAAGAGGAGCCCTTCTGGACACTCGGGGCTGCTGGGATTAAGGATCGCGTACAGCATTCATGCACACCAGAAGCATACACACATGCACACACACCTGCATGACAGTCATCTCTTCCACTCTCCCTTCCCACTTTCTTGCTCACCCCTGTGCTGAGCCGAGATCCCGCCCCCCGCCTGCTCTTTTATGATAGCATGACATGTACACTGGCCTCGGTTGCAGGACAACTGGAACAACTGGTCGTCGCTGCACGACCTTGCATATTCAAAACTGCGCATCACATTCAAAGCCATCATCTGTGTCGACTGCCCTCATCTACATATGTCCATAAAGCTAATGGCTGACACTTTACATTCTTCTCTGATTCCAGTGAAAACACATCCACACAAAGGTAGACCTTCATATTTATAATGCTCTGCCTCTCACAGAGCAAACGGCATACAGTAATAAGGAATTCATTTAACCGACTGATTTATAAAAATACAAAATAAATAATAACAACAATTTCTTTTAAAAAATTCCATTCACACAAGATATAAAAATCATTCTGTATTTTACTTATCAGAGCATAATTAGGTGGATTTTTGTGTTCTGTGTGCACAGACGTCCTCTTGCAAACACACCTAATGTGTGTTCAATCTCCCATGTATGGCCTTAGCCTGCTGGTAGCCCAAAGAGGGCTCTCTTCCACCGATAACATGGCAGTGAGCTCCCCCACGGAGCCAGTGCCCGAGCACCGAAAGGTGGGAGTTAAGGAGGGAGATATGCAGAGACACACTGAGAATGAGAAGGAGAGAGGGAGACGCACAGTGAGAGGAGGAGAAGGGGTTATGACAGCCAGAGGCGCTGTCTCCCCTTTCTCTGTGTTACCCCCAAACCACGAAACAAGCCTATCCATGACGACTGCTGCTCCCATCTCATTTCCACCGACTGCAAGTGCTATACCTGCTCATACAGTCAAATGACATCTGAATACTCTGAATATACCTATCATTGAATATGGTAATGGAGGGGGACCGAGTGCTAACAGTGGACAAGCGTTTCATAGCTGTGCAGGATCAGTGGCAACTACAGTGGAAACTGTGATCACATCACAGCGTTACAACAGCAAATATTTTCATGATAGGAATAACAATAACAACAGCAGCAACACACACACACACACACACACACACACACACAGCAATTCATATGCACTAACATAATAAATCATACAACTACAATCTTGTCCAATCACTAAATGCACAGCAACACCGTCACAAATAAACAAAGCTGCACTTTTGAATCATTTGATATTAACAGACAAAGGATTTTGTTACATGTCTAACACATTTAAAAAACATGCTTATAATTAAGTTATTTTTATAACCATGTATGTAATGCTTTAAAACAGCTGCCTGGTGCCACAAAGCTATAGGAAGCAATTCACAATTAATTAAAATAAAATCTGATTAAATTCATTTGAATAATCAGATGAGTAAAATATTTGCATGAGAGTGTTATTCATTTATTCTTTTCCATTCTTCCCTTCAGGTGTGGTGAATAACCTGGCTGTATCTAAATGTTTTAATTCATCTAAATATTAAAATGTTTTTGTTTTGTTTTTTTTTTTAAAAAATATATACACATTAAAAAAAATATTCTTGATAAAGATATTAATAAAAATGAAGACATAACCATGACCACAGGTAATGAGTTCAAAATGAAAATGGCCCATTTTCAATTATTTTTAACACTGTCAGTGGTGAAACCATCATTCTGGTGGCACCTCAGCACTTCACAGTTCTCGTGAACGCAATACTTCCAATATCACAGCCAGAGCTGAGCATGAGATAATATAGTTAGCTCCACCGAACACAACGTCTGACAAACACATATCTGAAATAGAATACATAGAAATAAAGCCAATGACATTCCTATACCTTTGCCAAGAACTGTTATAATTAAACATAAATATGACAATGAGACAAGACGGGGAAATCAGACAGGTGAGATGACAGTAAACATTTCTGCTGTCTTTGTTTTGTAACAGAAGACGGAGGGAGAGGGAGGAGGAGGAGGAAGAGGAGAGGAGTGTTACTGTCAGACAGGGGAGGAAGGGAGATCACTCGAGTTTTGGCACAGCAGCCTACCTGCCCTATAATATACACTGCAACACCTTGGAGTTTCTAATCACTGGGACTGAAACACACACAATTTACTGTTGCGAACACACACAGAAAACAGGGGTGTAGAACTGCACAACAATAGATAAAAAAAAGAGGAAGGAGCTAAATATGAATATTATCACTGTTTAAATTAACCAGTTTCCCCTTTTTCTCCCAAGTGCTAATCTCTGTCCGTCTGCTCCTCTCCAGTCTGAAAGGTAGGAATCTGTTTATCTGACCTCTTCCCCTGATTCCTCCTCTATGGCCCATGGCTATCTGACCCTTCTACCCAACCCCCTCAACACTCCCACCCTCAGCCCCCTTATTTTTTTGCCTCCTTCTCTCCCTCACCCCCTGACAGCCTTAACGTTTTGTTTTATTAAACCTGTTACCAGTCTATTTTGCTTCTGCCATCCTAAACTAAAAGCCAAAGTCTTAATCCTGCAGATGCTGACAACCACAAGTGCTTTGTGTGGCTCCCAAAAACACAACCAACAACTACCATCACCCTGTTTTTTCTCCCAGCAAGACCCCACTCTCTCCCCATCATCCCTCGGCTGTTTGCGCGGGGGTTTCCTCTCTTTCCTTTTTATCTCTGCACTCACTCCATGACCCCTGTTCCCCCTGTTTCTTGCTGTCTGACCTACCGCCCCCCCCCCTCACACACACACACACACACACACATTCACACACAGCTTCTCACCCCCCTTTCTGTTTCCCCCAACGGTACACATATCCTATCCATGCCTCTCCTCGCTCGCAAAACCTCCTTTTTTCCTCTTTCTTTTCCCGTCTGTATGTCGCGTAAAATACCCGAGCCTGACTTATAATTCTCGCAGCTTTTTCTGACTCCATATAGCTCCATCCCATCCGAAAAGCAGTCGCTATTTTTTCTGCATATTTATGGAGATTTTCGGGCTTGCACTTGCACCTAAACGTCAAGATAACAGATGCATTTTCTTTATGTTTTTGCGTAAAAGTCGATTTTTGGCGAGCTTGGTAACAATGTCTAGTTCTAGGTAAGGTTAGTGATATAAAATATATTTTTTGAAGGGGGGAAAGGCCCAGCAGCTTAGACAGGCTGTCTCTATTCAAGCCTCGTATTTTCCTCCGAGAGTGCAGCCTATTCTATTTTGGGTATGTGCAAGATATGTTGTGTAGCTTAACTTTAGAAAATCCTGCAAATGTTAACTGGCTAAGCGGCTACTAAATGCATGCAGTGACCTATAGGTTTAGCCTGAACCATAATTTAAGTTTCCGGCAGTAACTTTGGAATGATTATGTCTGCTTAAGGTCAGACTAATAGGGCAATGTTTTGTTTTCATTCCGGTCAGCATTTCTCGGGGAAAAAAATGTTCTTCTTGAAAGTCAGATACGGTAGCCAAGTAGTTGGAGGCAGCAGCAGCAGCAGCAGCAGCAGCTCCAGCCTGCCTATGTCTCCCCTGAACCACATGTCTGTTCTCTGAAACGCAGCTCAGACTCTCAGGCTGTCCGTGTACAAGGTCCTGCTGATCCGCTCTTGTCATGAAGGAGACCCGGGGCTTCGTTTATCTCAACACACCACATTCACACAACACACACACGCTCGCAAACACGAACCCCTTTTGGCGCACGCACGCACACATACACACACACATACACATGTCGATCGATTTGCATGTGACTTCGTCAGGGAATGAGCGAGAATCGACTTAAAAACAACGCTTCAAAAGAAGCAAACAAGCGATGAAAAATAAAAAAGAAAGCAAAGATGGACAAAGTGGGGGAAAGGGGAAAAGTGTAGCTAGAGGAACTAAGACAGGGCGGAGGGATTGCACATTTCAAAGAGAGACGTGTCGGAGAAGAACAAAAAATGTGTTTATCCAGAAGAGGATTTTAGAAGCACACGACGGTGCCGAACACCCCCTGGATGTGGCAAGTGTCAAATCTGTCAAAATTTAGAAAGCGAGAGATGTTTCCCTGTCGCCGGACGCACACGGACCCACAGGCTGGACTTGGAGCTCCTTTTCTGGGCTGCGCTCATGTGGAGCTGCCGCTGCCCTTCGTCCGCTCCACACAGCCCCCTTTTCTTACTGCATCTGTGCCTCAAAAACACGCTTCTCGACACCCATAAGCCCTCCATACCTTTTCCCGATCCCACCGAAATGCACACATTTGTTTCAAAACCGTGTTTTTCTACGGTCAACTGCTTGGAGAGGATCGCTGTCTTGCCCATTTCTTATCTTCCATTCATGAGGAGGAGAGGACGAACGCTGATGTAAACACAGGTAACGATACAAATACAAAAATCGAGAATAAACCAAACTACTTGCATGAAATGAACTTGTGATCGCCAGTCATTTCTCACAATGTGAGAATTAGCCAGCTCCGCTATACACGTAAACTACGAACAGATAGGGGGGAAAGAGATTCAGATAAGTGCACAGCGAAAAGAATAGGATCGTGGAAACACAGAGAGGAAAAGAGACAAACGCAAAGTTGAAACTTACAATTTCTCGCTGCCGCTTTGTGATCCTCGCTTTTTAATCCAGTATTGAGATGATTTAGCTAAAGATCCCATCAAGGCAGTCCCCTTTTGGTCAGTTTGCGCTTAGGGTGGCAAAAGAAAGATCATTGTTGTTGCGGAGTGTAAAAAACCGAAGTAGGTAGCTACTATTAGTTGTTAAAGGCAATATAAAAATAATTTGGATGCAAAGCAGGCGATGAGTCTTGTGTTAGAGGGAGCGAGGAAGAGGTGAAAGTGAGATCTGATGATTGAAAAGAAAAAACTCTTTGGATCTTTATTCCTGCTAATTAGTTTCCTGCAAAAAATGGCTGTGATTAATTCAGTGCGCATGTGCTTCATTACACAGGCACGAAGGGAAGGGCTAATTAGCCGCCTTCTGGATCAATAAGATTCAGCAAAGGAGAGAGCTCGGGAGAGAGAGGGAGGGAGGGAGGGAGAAAGAGGAGGGAGGGAGGGATGGATAGATACAAGTAAGAAAAAAAAGAGGAAAGTAATGATCAGGAATTGAAAATATGGAATTAAGAACAGCGGAAAGTAAGAGTTTGATTAGACGGAAGACAGTGAAAGTTAATACTGGAGCAGGCAGCCGCAGCCCGACGCTACAGGCACAGCTTTCTGCCTCCGCTCCTTTTTTAACACTTTTCAAACCTTTTTTACCCGCTTTTTGCCCTTTTTAACTAAAGATACGCACAAACCGTGGCCACTAAAAGCACATAAGCGATCATGCTTTATTTTATTCTGTCTCTTTCAAGCCGGGTTTGTCATGTTAGTCGCGTCCAAAGCTGCACACCGGGGCTCTTTCTCTACAGTTACTTTACAGTCAACTTATTGAAATACATACCTGAGTTACGGCGGCTGTAGTGACCCAAATGGAAACATGCTATTCTTCTGCACACTTGTAAATATGTAAATAAGTAAAGTGTTTGTAAACAACTAAAAGAAACGCTCGCCATCCCAAAAAAAAATACGCAAGATAAAAGCGATTTCTACATGTATGCAGAAGTATACTGTAACAACATACACAGGCAGCCTCGGGACTATTGTAATGTGCAATGAAGGGAGCTTATCGTAAGCACAGAGGCACCTGGATATTATCACAGCTAGCAACTGATTTGTTTTTGCAAATATATATTTTAAGCATTAAGAGAAAGACATAGAAGATGGTATTAAATAATCCAGATGCGTGGCTGCAAAATTTTAACTTTGCAAACTTGACGTGAATCAACCTGTGCACATCTTAGAAAGAAACTCCGGATTATTTTTAAGTTTAGATTGCACAAAAATATTAATTTAACAATATGATATGATGTGCTTAATGATAAGAGAGGACTACTGTAATAAAACTTGAAGCAATGGGTGTTCCCAAACCAAAATTAGTGTGTATGCATGGATTAATTTGAATAAAACTGCAAAATTGAAAACTCATTGCTATATTTTAAAAATAAAAGTGAAATTAAGCAGGTTAAAATATGCCATATGTGAAGGTATGACGGAGATGATATAGGACAGGCGTGTCGTTTTTACACTTTCTGTCAGCTCAAAATATCACTTCAACTTTAAAAGCAGTGTAACCTACTTTATTACAGCATTGTAATATAAAAGAAACTAATTGTCCCAGTGATGTGAGGGCATCCAAGACACAAAGGTTGGAATATTTTCCACTGAATTTGGGAAACACCTGAGAGCTGCTTTGTATAAGTACAGTGTGCAAAGCAAGTGCAACTCTTTCTTTCTTTTTTTTTTTTTTTTTAAAGAAATACTTGTTGAAGCCTCATTGTATCATCCATGGGTGTGACAATTTATTTAAATTTTGCAGTATGAGTCGCGGGTGTTTAGGAAAATATAAACAGGGTTATAGTTCTCAGGCAGCACAGCAGTGAGAGGCTGTGGAGCTGTGACACAGAGGGATGATGGGGGGACAGGTTATCGTGACATCTATTGCGAAAGTGCTGGGAACACGTTGTCGATAGAGGTTCTCTTAAATAATAATAATAAAAATAATAAGAGCACAGTAGAAATGTGTGACAGAGGTGTATGAAGGCGTCTGGTCACCCCGGCCTGTTTGCATTAACTTTGCCATATATGATAGTTATTCTGATATTATGACGTGAAGCCCAGGTGGTCAGTGTGTCATCTCATTTTGATGTGTCGTGATTAGGAATTTCTAAACGCACAAATGATCAATACCAATATAAAATGTGTTGAGGGTCTCTCGTTTGTTTTTCTTAACAGCACTCTTTCCGTAAAGCACGTCGCCTCTAACGGATGTCCTCTCGTTTCCTCCGAGTGAAAAGACTGCGTGTATTGCAAAAATCAACCTTTGAGTCTCCCAGTGCTCTTTGTTATGATAATTTTATTGTTGATTCTCTGAGGGAAATGGACAATCCCTCACTCTCAGTACGCACACTTTCTGTGCAAACAGCTCCATATAGAGTCCTGGTCTACTGAATGCAAGTAGCAGCTTCCACTGATCACATAACGTGCTGTGTTTATTGAAACAATACGGATTTGATAGTCTGCGCCTATATAGTGAATTCCGATACAGAGTTAATAGTTAAACGGCGCATATACGCGAATCCAAACATTGTCCAAACATGCTAGAGAGCTCAAAGTGGCCATAATACAAGAGTGCATAGGAGATAAGGCATAACTGGGTTAATAAAACGGCCTGAGATATTTGTTTTTTCAGACGTGTGTTGGATAGAAATGCATGGCACTGATACATCTAATGTCTGTTTTTATTTTTCTGAGATTGCACAGAAGTGATGTGTTGAGCACTTGGTGATGTTGTGGTGGTGAAGATGGCAGATGAAATGTATAGGCTATATTTTATATTTTCCAAAGGCCTTTGACTTAAAGGTTAGAGAGGTTATGGAACCCCCATGGGACGCGGCGTTTCCACAGATCCAATAGCACATATCCCTTAGAAGAGCCTATGAAAATCAAACTTCTTATACTGTAGCCTATATGAGCAGGACCCAACTCCCCCTCTCCATCTCTCTCTGTCTCTCTCCCCTCTTCCTCTCTCCCCCTCTCTCTCTCCCTGCTGCTAGAATATATGGTGTGCTGTAACACGGCATTTCCTCAGCACTTGCCATCCATAAGCCGAGGCAGGCACTGATACCTGTTTTTAAGCAATGTAGCATCTGCTGTGTGGCATGCCTCTCTCGGAGAAAAAAAAACCACACAAGAAAACTGCATCGCCCCGTCGAACAGCTCACATTTTTGCAGTGTGAGAGGCAGACTGCAGGAATCTCGAGGATTTGTGCGTGTCTGCTCTCTCGGGAAGAAGAGATTGTAAAAATGAATAGGTTGAAAATAGCGTGCGAGGGGAGTTAAAGGGGCTACGAGATAATAAAAGAGTCTGGTGTAATTTGAGGCTTGTAGGAGGCAGCTTTGAGCCAGTCAGTCGCCTAAAGCCTAACAGTGCAAACTTCAGTTTACAAATTTATGCAAAGGCCTGATTGACATTACTCCATCAGTGACCATATTGAGTATGGTGTAGGCTAAATCAAAAGAAGACCAGCCAGACGGAGGCCTTGATGCTTTTAGGGCCTATGCATCACTGAAAAGGGGGAAAAAAGGGGGGAACTGACAGGGTCTGAAGCTTTTGTGTTACCAGCGTTCAATTGCGCCTCTCTGTGGGAAGGATAACTGTCCACGTGCCAGCCTCAATAGGCATACATCGATGAGTGGCATTGCAAATTCAACACAACCTGTGGCTATGACAGCCCGTGGATATGACAAAGAAAGGCAGAGTGGCTTAAAATGCAAAACGGTGCGTAGATGTGGGGCACATGACAGCGCTTGACCATCACCAGAACTGCAAGGAACAAAACAGAGCATTCACACAGAGGGCAGAGCCCCATAATCGTCTCTAACGGGGGGGATTTCGCAGAGCCACGTGCACGTCATGTCAACTTTTTAAAAATATTTATTTTAATAAGCCTCCAAATTAAATTAAATTTCACTTTATTTGCGTTATATTACATTATTTTATTTATCTGCCGGCTACTGTGCGCGTGCACGTGCGCACGCGTGTGTACGCATGCATGCGCAATCCCAGACAAAGCACAAAGGGAAACAGAGGAAATGAGCAGGGGTGAAAGTATTTAAAGATAAAAGCTGCAATCGAGAAAAAGTCCTATAACTTTATAAAGAGATAACGACCATTATATTCCGAAGGATTTGGGGATTTAAGATGCTTATAGGCTGCGATATTAACAAGGAGGGTGTCAGTCATATGTTCAGGCTATGGTAAACACAGATGAAAAGGGCATCAGGCATTCTTTAGGAAACAATCTGGGTGAGATTATGTTAGGAAAATATTTCAAAATAAAAAGCGAGTGTAGGTGGACTGGAAGCTCAAGGTGGGACACAAATGAAAATCGTACACTTCTTTTTTTTTAATGAAAAATAAATTTTACTTTAGTGGTGAAAAGACACTTTAAAGATAGTGTGCGTCACACAGCGCCTGCAGGTGTCCCAGATGGTTAAAGGGTGGTAGCCCAAGTTTCCTGTGGAGGGCAAACACCTTCTTTACGCGCTTTATCTTATTTTTTATTTCTTAAATGTACATGATCCACACTGAAAAACTTTTTGAAATGCATTTATTAATAGTATGTCACTGTGGCAGTATTTTTTTTTTTACAAAGGTAGCCTGTAACTTTTTAAAGAAAAAAACTTTAAATTTTACTAAAGTTATTTTCACATCAGTCGCTGTTTGTCTCTTTATGATCCTCGACTGAATGAAACAGTCGTGCCTGCGCTGTTTACCACCACATCACTGCACACGAGAGGCTGGTGTCCGGCTCTCCATGTGTCTAGGGTGGATAGGGCAGCGCAGCCAGGTGCAATGGGAGCGCCCTCTTATGTTCAGCCTGACCACTGGGATCAAGCAGCGCATCAACTCCTTTACAGGAGCCAAGTGCCTGCGGACCAGCTGGTCTTTGCAAACGCGCACCTTTTGCCTTTCAGTCTAACATCATATATTAGACTGCCTCGCGTGTGAGGGATGTAAATCAACATGCTCGGGTTATTGCGTGGTCAAAAGACGTGTAGCTTAACCGTAGAACGCGGAAACCACAAACATTTCACATAAACATCACACCAAAAATAGTTGGTCTATTAATGCCACTGCACACTGTCCAAAACTGCCATCAGGTTTTAAATAGCCACCTGAGTGTGGAGGGAGTGACGAGGAGCAGGAGCCAAACACACATCAAACTTTAAGTTGGCCTAATTAGCGGAGCATCCTGCAAAAAAAATCAGCATAGTTGATGCATAGTTAGAAAAATCAATATTTAAATAAAAATGCGTACTATAAATAAAGTGAACTTTCCACAGTGGTTATAATGTGTCTGAGGCTGTACATGCAGCAGGTTTTACACCCCAGATGATT